GGGGGAGGTTTAATTGATTGATTAATGGGAAATTGCAGCGGGAATAATCCCAAATTAATCCCGAAATTAATCCCGAAATTAACCCCGAATTAACCCAAATTAAACCCCAAACTGACCCCAAAATAATCCCAAATTAACCTCAAACTGACCCCAAATTAATCCCAAAATTAACCCCAGAATAACTCCAAATTAATCCCGAAAGGAACCAAAATTAACCCCAAACTGACCCCAAATTATCCCCAAATTGACCCCAAATTAATGCCAAAATAAACCAAAATTATCCCCCAATTAACCCCAAAATAACTCCAAATTAATCCCGAAATGAACCGAAACTAACCCCGAATTAATCCCAAAATAAACAAAATTAACCCCGAATTGACCCCAAAATAACTCCAAATTAACCCCGAATTAAACCCAAAATAACTCCAAATTAACCCCAAATTAAGCCCCAACTGACCCCAAATTAATCCCGAAATGAACCAAAGCTAACCCCGAATTAATCCCAAAATAAACAAAATTAACCCCGAATTGACCCCAAAATAACTCCAAATTAACCCCAAATTAACCTCAAAATAACTCCAAATTAATCCCAAATTAAGCCCCAACTGACCCCAAATTAATCCCGAAATGAACCAAAATTAACCCCAAAATAAATCAAAATTAACTGAAAATTAAACCAAAATAACCCCGAAAATAATCTCAAATTAATCCCAAATTATCCCGAAAATAACCCCAAATTAACCCCAAAATAACCCAAAATTGACCCCAAAAAAACCCTCGGGACCCCTCCCCAAAATAACCCCAAAATTCCCCCAAATTAACCCAAAATTAACCGAAAAACCCTCGGGACCCCTCCCCAAATTCCCCCGAATTCCCCCAAAATAACCCAAAAATAAACCCGGATTTTGGGGGGGGGTCTGGGATATTTTGGGGAGGGTCTCGAGTTGATTTTGGGGTTTTTTGGGTGGTCCCGGGGTTATTTTGGGGTTATTTTGGGGGGAGTCCCGGGGTTATTTTGGGGGGGTCCCGGGGATATTTTGGGGGGGTCCCGGGGTTATTTTGGGGGGGGTCCCGGGGTTATTTTGGGGGGGGTCCCGGGGATATTTTAGGCTCTCCCCCCTCCCCCTCCCCTTTATCCCGGTTTTGGGGCCGTTTCCCGGGATTTTGGGGGTGCCCGGATTGGGGGGAGGGGTCGCGGGTGTTGGGGGAGGGGTCCCGGTGCCGGGGGGGGGGCCCGGGGGGGGCCCCCCGCCCCAT